GAGGAGGGGGAGGAGGAGGGGGAGGAGGAGGGGGAGAGGGGAGGAGGAGGAGGAAAGGTTTTAATAAAGATTTCTCCATTAAGATTTGATGTACTCCTAAATATCCTTATTCAGTAAAACCTGAATCTTCTCCAAAGAAAAGAAATTGAGTCAGTATTTTTGGCTGATTGCCTGGCTTGTCCCCCCATTCCCTGCACTGACACTGGTATGGAATTCTTCCTCATGTTTCTGTGCAACAAAACAAAACAAAACAAAACAAAACAAAACAAAGCAACAAGGGGAAGTTTAATGTGTTTGGACATGCCAATTAAATGTTTTCACGTTAGAGAGGTAAGTTTATGTTGTTTGGAAAGTTAAGTTCTGTGCAACCCCTCTGTTGGTTTCGACTCAGGTCATGATCCCAGGGTCATGTGATTGAGACCTATGTCAGGGGCTCAGTGTAGAGCCTGCTTAAGATTTTAAGATTCTCTCTCTCTCTCTCTCTCTCTCTGGACACCTGGGTGGCTCAGTCAGTTGCACATCAAACTTTGGTTCAGGTAATGATTTTGGGGTTCGAGCATTCAAGCCCTGCATCAGGCTCTCCGCTTTTAGCGAAAAGCCCACTTCGGATCTTCTGTCCCCCTGCCCCCTCTCTGCCCCTCCCTCGCTCGCACTCTCTCTCTCTCTCTCAAAAGTAAAATAAAACATTAAAAAAAAAAAAAAGATTCTCTCTCTCCCTCCGCCCCCCCTCTCCTGCTGGCATGCACTCTGTCTCTCAAAATAAAAATGAAAAAAATTAAGCAACAAAGTTTATGGAGCATCAATTGAGTTGATTCTGAAATAGCAGAGAAATTGCAAACTAGGGGGAACCATGGGCAAGTCTGGAGAACAAAGGAGGAGCTCAACCTTCTAGAGAGGAAAGGAGGAAGTTTCCAGGGATTGTTTGGCACAAAAGCTCGTTGGAGGGAAAGGATAACTAGAACTGGGCTGTAGCTTCTTATTGGCTGCAGCTTCTCATTGGCTGCAGGTGAGGGCAGCGTGCAGTTGCTGGGCAGATTGGAAATCTCCCTTCTTCCTGCTGCTCTGTGTGTGAGTGGTGGTGCCTCAGTCCTCTCCCTTTGTGCCTCCCCACTCTTTTTTTTTTTTTTATAAGTAGGCTCCACGCCCAACATGGGGTTTGAACTCATGACCCTGAGTTGAAGAGTCACATGCTATACAGACCAAGACAGCCAGATGTCCCAGCTCCATTTTTGAATGAGATTTTCTTTATTCATTTTCACATTCCCTGCCCCCCCCCTTTTGATCAAGATTTTTCCTCGAAATCATCACTGTTCCAGAGTCAGGCTTTCCATATCTAGTGGTTTTGTCCCGCACCTTTCCTGATCATCATGTTGCATGTCAAAGGGAAAAATGCATAGCAAATGGAGGCCATTGAAGACCACGTTTGAGTAACAAGGAAAGGTAAGAGAAATAACTCTTGGGTGTTCGCCATTTAAAGTCCGTATCTTATCAAGGTTGTAATCATCTTGAAACTTTGAGCCAGCATCACCCATGGGGTCCATCATTTCTACAAAGGGTTTGATGGGCCACAGGTACAACGCTAAAAAATGACTGTACAAAACAAACGAGGGGCAGCATAATAAACCCAATGGTCCTAGATCGGGAGCTGAAACCTGAAGGTATCCAGCTAAAGAGATCAAAAGACCAGGGGTCAGTTAGGCCAGGTTTTCTCCTAGCCCAAAATGAAAAACTGTTCTAAGTTCCAGAGTTTACCCCCTTCAGCAATGACCTGCGAGATACCGATGATGGTGTTCTTTCCAGGCTAATACCAGAGTTAAGGAATGAATGGGAAGAAGAAAGAGTTTCAGGTTCAAATGATCTTGGGTGGAAGCAGTCTACATCCATATCAGCTGCTTCTCCTTCTAGTCCTTTGATGCAGAGGGTCTCCAGTGTTCACATAAGACCAGCTGTCAGGGGGCACCTGGATGGCTCAGTCGGTTAAGCGTTCGACTCTTGATTTCAGTTCAGGTCATAATCTCTCGGTTGGTGAGTTCGAGCCCTGCAAGGGGGTCTGCACTGAGGCGTCTGCTTGGGATTCTCTCTTTCCCCTCTCTCTTTGCCCCTACCCTTACCCTGCTCCCTCTCTCTCCTCTCCAAGTAAATTAGTAAACTTAAGGGGAAAAAAAGACCAGCTGTCAGGTGGAGGGCTTCTTTAGCTGAAAGATCTGTCCCCAAGCTTCAGGTTCCTGGGGTCTGGCTACCATCTAAGCAGTGAGGAGGACCTGGCATAGTCTTTTTCAAGGAGGCTCAAGGGCAGTCTTTGTTCCTAGTGATTCCACATCAGAAGGGTGGGATAAAATTGGAAATGTTATGTGGGAGAGTCATAGCCAGATATATATTTTTTTAATTTATTTTTTTTTTAATTTACATCCATGTTAGCTAGCATCTAGTGTAACAATGATTTCAGGAGTAGATTCCTTAGTGCCCCTTACCCATTTAGCCCATCCCCCCTCCCACAACCCCTCCAGTAACCCTCTATTTGTTCTCCATATTAATGAGTCTCTTCTGTTTTGTCCCCCTCCATGTTTTTATATTATTTTTATTTCCCTTCCCTTATGTTCCTCTGTTTTGTCTCTTAAAGTCCTCATATGAGTGAAGTCATATGATATTTGTCTTTCTCTGATTGACTAATTTTCGCTTAGCATAACACTCTCTAGTTCCATCCACGTAGTTGCAAGTGGCAAGATTTCATTCTTTTTGATTGCCGAGTAATACTCCATTGTGTATATAGACCACATCTTCTTTATCCATTCATCCATCAATGGACATTTGGGTTCTTCCCATACTTTGGCTATTGTTGATAGTGCTGCTATAGACATGGAGGTGCATGTGCCCCTTCGAAACAGCGTATCTGTATCCCTTGGATAAATACCTAGTAGTGCAATTGCTGGGTCATAGGGTAGTTCTATTTTTAATTTTTTGAGGAAATTTCATACTGTTTTCCAGAGTGGCTGCACCAGTTTGCATTCCCACCAGCAATGCAAACGAGATCCTCTTTCTCCGCATCCTCGCCAACATCTGTTGTTGCCTGAGTTGTTCATGTTAGCCATTCTGACAGGTGTCAGGTGGTATCTCATTGTGGTTTTGATTTGTAGTTCCCTGATGATGAGTGATGTGGAGCATTTTTTCATGTGTCGATTGGCCATCTGGATGTCTTCTTTGGAGAGTGTCTACTCATGTCTTTTGCCCATTTCTTCACTGGATTATTTGGTTTTTGGATGTTGAGTTTGATAAGTTCTCTATAGATTTTGGATACTAACCCTTTATGTGATATGTCATTTGCAAATATCTTCTCCCATTCTGTCGGTTGCCTTTTAGTTTTGCTAATGGTTTCCTTTGCTGTGCAGAAGCTTTTTATTTTGATGAGGTCCCAATAGTTCATTTTTGCTTTTGTTTCCCTTGCCTCTGGGGACGTGTTGAGTAAGAAGTTGCTGTGGCCAAGGTCAAACAGGTTTTTGCCTGCATTCTCCTCAAGGAGTTTGATGGCTTCCTGTCTTACATTGACATCTTTCATCCATTTTGAGTTTTTGTGTGTGGTGTAAGAAAGTGGTCCAGGTTCATTCTTCTGCATGTCGCTGTCCAGTTTTCCCAGCACCACTTGCTGAAAAGGCTGTCTTTCTTCCACTGGATATTCTTTCCTGCTTTGTCAAGGGCTAGTTGGCCATACGTTTGTGGGTCCATTTCTGGGTTCTCTATTCTGTTCCACTGATCTGAGTGTCTGTTTTTGTGCCAGTACCGTACTGTCTTGATTACAGCTTCGTAATACAGCTTGAAGTCTGGGATTGTGATGCCTCCAGCTTTGGTTTTCTTTTTCAAGATTGCTTTGGCTGTTCGAAGTCTTTGTTGGTTCCATACAAATTTTGGGATTGTTTGTTCTAACTCTGTGAAGAATGCTGGTGTTATTTTGATAGGTATTGCATTGAATATGTATACTGCTTTGGGTAATATTGACATTTTAACAATATCTGTTCTTCCCATCCAGGAGCATGGGATATTTTTCCTTTTTTGTGTGTGTCTTTTTCAATTTCCTTCATAAGCTTTCTATAGTGTATAGATTTTTCACCTCTCTGGTAAGGTTTATTCCTAGGTATTTTATGGTTTTTGGTGCAATTGTAAATGGAATTGATTCCTTGATTTCTCTTTCTGTTGCTTCATTATTGGTGTATAGGAATGCAACCAATTTCTCTGCACTGATTTTATATCCTGTGACTTTACTGAATTCATGGATCAGTTCTAAAAGTTTTTTTTGGTGGAATTTTTTGGTTTTCCATATAGAATATCATGTCATCTGTGAAGAGTGAAAGTTTGACCTCCTCCCGGCCTATTTGGATGCCTTTTATTTCTTTGTGTTGTCTGATCGGTGAGGCTAAGACTTCCAATACTATGTTAACTAACAGTGGCAAGAGTGGACATCCCTGTCTTGTTCCTGACCTTAGGGGGGAAGCTCTCAGTTTTTCCCCATTGAGGATAATATTAGTGGTGGGTCTTTCACATATGGCTTTTATGATCTCGAGTCATGATCCTTCTATCCCTACTTTCTTGAGGGTTTTTATCAAGAAAAGATGCTGTATTTGTCAAATGTTTTCTCTGCATCTATTGAGAGGATCATGTGGTTCTTGTCTTTTCTTTTATTGATGTGATGAATCACATTGATGGTTTTGCGGATATTGAACCAGCCCTTCATCCCAGCCCTAAATCCCACTTGGTCGTGGTGGATAATTTTTTTCATGTATTGTTGGATCTGGTTGGCTAATATCTTGTTGAGGATTTTTGCATCCATGTTCATCAGGGAAATTGGTCTATAGTTCTCTTTTTTTA